TGTGATTCCTATCTTCAAGGAGTTCACTTACACATTCTTAGGAGTTGAACTACTCAGGGACTCCAGAAACATTAAAAGGACAATTTTGTTGTCATAATCTGCCCTTAACAAAACGACCCTCAGAATTTGCTGACTTGGCCATTCGCAGCAGTGGGAGTGGAGACCTGGCCACTGACTGGACTTCTTGTTTCTGACCAGCTTGGTTCTTGGTGAGTTCCAGCCGGGCAGCACCCGGGCAGGGCTGGGCTTGTTTGCTCTGGGGGCTGACATCTCCGGAGCTGGTCAATGCTGGCAAGAAGACATCAGAAGCATCTTCCTTTTTGATTGTGCTGACTCATAGCCCCAGAAATTGTAGGACTCTGAGAGCAGATCTTAACTCCCCTGTGGAAAACTCCATCCATGCCTGGTCTCCATGTCCGGCTCGAAGCTGTACAGGCTTTCACGTGTTCGTTCGTATTCTCAATCATTTCTGTTTTTCCCTCTCTCCTTTTCCTTTTTTCTTGTTCCTTCTCTTCTTTCTTCCCTTTCCACACAAGGGGCAGGGGCAGAGGAGTGACGTTGTGTAGGTAGGCACTGAACACATGACCCAGTGATAATGGCCCCCGTTTATTAGCTGTGCCACGCTTGTGCCTTCATTACATCCTGTAATCCTTAGAGTAACCCTCTCAGGTAGGTAATGTATCACCATTTAGGTATTTTTCTGAAAATGGTTAAACTTGGATTTGAAGACAAGTCTGTCCTACTCCAAAGTGCGAAGCTGGGTACCAGTGCTATGTGTGCTGGGCGGGGGTGGGAGACGGTGACACGATGATAGTCGTCATGTGTAAGGAGACTCCCTGTACATGCCTTACCTCCTCGTCACAGTGGGTGGGATTCCTCCGGCATGGAGCCACTTTGTTGCCTCTTGTGGAGGCAACGTGGAGTCTTGCTCCTGAGGGAAGGCTACATTGTCTTGAGTATTTGGGTAAATCAGATCATCTTACTCCCTCGGGTCACAGAATAGCCTCCATCCTGACTCAGGAGGAGGTCGAAACCACTTCCCCAGGACAGTATCAGAAGGAGCCAAAATATTAGAAGGCAGAGGAAAGCAGAGCTATAATTTTTTTCCCTAGCATAGTGACCCAAACTTGAAGAATTCTGATGGGAGCAAGGGCAAAACTTTCTAGAGTTGAAAAAAGAACTAGAAAGAGAAAGCATCCCTCCCCCCGCACACGTATCCCCCCACACACATACGCATCGCCTTTACAACTGCAGTTCCATCCTCAACATTTCAAAAATCCCTCTCTTTTTTTTTTTGACTTCACTGCAAGGATTTAGTTAGGACTCATCCTCCCTTAGAGTCTGCAGTAATGTCTTGACTGGTGCCCCTGCTTTCAGGCTCGGCACCCTCTCTGACTGCTTCTCCGTCTTAGATACCATCCTGATCTTAATAGGAGTCTTCCCACCATGCTGCTTCCCTGCTTCATCCTTGACAATGGCTCCTGGGGCCAAGATGAAAAGGTCCAAATTCCTTAACGTGTCATAGGAGGCTTCTCAAGATCTGGCTGTCTCCTCTCAGCCCGATTGACCGCTTGCCTTGGCCATACTGAGCTTCCTGCAGCTCCTGAATGTGCTGTCCTCTCTCCCTCCCGTGCCTTTCCATGCGCTGCACCCTTTGCCTAGAACAGCGTTCACCGCCTGGCTAACTCCTATTGATCCTTCAAAGCTAAGCTCAAGTATACCTTCTTTGGGGGAAACCTCTCCCCTCCCTTCAGTCTGGGTTAGATGCCACATTCTCTGTGTGTCTTTAACACCCTGGCTTCCCTCTATCATAATCCTTAAAACACTGTGTTGTATTATTTATTTACCCTAATCTCGCCTTCATTGGCCTATGAGCTCTTGAAGGGCAAAGGATTCTGTCTCATATATATTTATCTTTATAATCTCAGGGCTTGGTACAGAGCGGATGTTCAGTGAGTGTTTACTGATTGCGTTTTTCATAAAAGCAATTTATAAAATGCAAAGAATTGGAAAAATAGAATTGAAAGCAAATGCTCGGGGCAGTGTAACTTAGAACTCTTGGTGCTTAGGGTATAAATTTCTTGCTTGCTGAGCCTGTATTTATTGTCCAGTGAGTTCTTTCATGTAGCAGAGAAGGTCTGTGGAGTGGGACTGTGGGCTGGGAGTGGGTTGGTTCCATAGACCTAAGATAGCTACCTAATTTGTATAGACCCTTCCCAGCCTGGGCCTCTGGGTTTTCTTTCTGGCTGGAGATCATCTTCTGCAGGAAATGGAACTGCTCCAAGCCAAGAAGTCTTCACTTTTCCTAGTCCTTGTTGTGTTCTGCTGTTCAAGCATTAGGAAGACTGAGCCCTGTGTGAGTCTTGACGGGATCGTGTTTCATGCTCCCAAAAAAGTGTTTGTGTAACCTCAAGCCACGCTGAGAGCGAAATACAGCTTAAAGGGGGATTCTGCTGGACCTGACTCAACTTTTCATCTTACCGCCTGGCTGTGTGTATGTGGTGTGTGAGTATGTGGTTCCCCTGAAGTCTGGAGGAGTTGTATGTGCCGATAAGATCCGAGGCCAGAATGCTTGCTTCCAGTAGAGAGGAGTTTAGAAATGCAACAACAAACATTTATTGAGCCCCTGGTGTGTGCAAGGCTCAGTGCTAAGAGCCGTGGGTAAAATAGGATGATCAGGGCCAGGGCTCCATCTTCGGGAAGCTTCCCATCTGAGAAGAGAGGCTGATCAGCAGAGTTTTGGAGATATGACAGAGCATGGCTAACTCTAGGCCCAGCCATTACTTTGGTGCTCAGAGCATTAGAGAAAGGACTGCCTTTCACTGAACTATGTACCTGCATAGGTTTAGGTCTTCTCAAGTACATTGTTGCTTTTAACCTTCATCTCATTCCTATCTTGCAGTTACGGAAACCCTAATATGTAGTAAATAGGAGCTCAGAAAATTAAATTGGGAGATGAGCCAGTAGATTGAAAGGAGGGACGTTTGTTTAGGTCTGGGGGTCTGTCCCGTGCTTCATTTGCCCTCAGCACATGGAATGGAGGCTAGGAGAAAGATCTCTAAGAAATGAAAGCAGTTAGAAGTGCTTATTTGGTGGAGCTACCTGCTTGGCTGGAAGAAGTGGAATTGAGAGCCAGCACTGGAGGGATGTTTTGAAATCTCTTCCTCGGAGACGAGGTGAAGGAGGAAGGGAAGGTAATTTCCAGGTAGAGGTGAGGACATTGGCTCTGCACCTATCAGAGAAGGGTTGAAAAGTTTAATGATCTCCACGTTTAACCTGAATCATGTTCGTTGGTATTTCCTTATACTGGGTGGCACTTGAAAACCCCTTCCTGAACTCTTGTAAAGGGTTCCCAGCAGGGGAGCCTAGAATCTCCTGGCAGGGTTGGGTAGAGACCTTTTCTTCCCTGGTTCTCAGGTTTGGCCCTGGCTAGGAGATGAACCTTCTGTGCGGCTCTCACTGCTCATACCTCCTTCAAAAAGAAAGTGACAAAAGGCTTAATTTTTTTCTTTGCAAAATGGTACATTCAATAGCACTCAGACTGTAAATGGATTAAAATGTTACATTTCTTGGCTAATATTTTACTTTCTTGTAATGGCATAGAAATAGCCTAGCCTTCTTTTCTTATTTTTTTACAAAAAATAATAATTAAATGTTTGAGTAGGTAATATATGTAATGGATACAAAATTCAGAAGGTTAAGGGGTTTTATGGTGACGAGTAAGTCTCTCTCTCTCACTTCTGTCTGTTAGCCACCCAGTTCTCCTGGGGTTACTAGCCTTGCCAGCCTCTTGCTGTGATTTTTGTAGCGCTTCGTTGATTGCTGTTTTACTACAAAAGGGACATTGTGGTGGTTGGTTCAACAAATGACCCAAGTCCCTATGATGGCCAGGGCCCGGCTGCTAGAGCCTTAGTGTGGGTGCTGTCTTATTAAGAACTTCATTTTCTTGCTTATAATGTGTCCAGCATGAAGTCACAGGGCCGTCATTAGTAGTAAGTACATTACCATCTGAGGACAAAGACTTCAGTCCAGAAAGCCGTTAGACAGAGGAACTTGGAAAGTGTTTTATTCCCTATTTCAAAACCCAGCCATGTGTTTCCTATTAAATTACATGACTGATAGGTGCCGCTTATGGTTACTTAATACCAACTCACATTGCTAAATGGCTCAAATGAATATCTGTGTATTTATTTTGCCATCTACTGCAAAGCATAAATTTTTCTTACTCCAGTAACTCATTAAGTTCTTGAATCTTTCACCATAAGCTGATTGAGACAGGAACTATGCCTGAGCCATCCTTACACCCTTGCAAGAGGCTGTTCAGTAAATGTTTCTCAATGACTCTAAGAAAGGCTCAGTGAGCTCACATGCTCAGGAGGAAGGACGCTGGGAATGAGCGATAGGAGAGTTTTCATTGACCTCTCCTCCGGGTTAGCCGCTGACTCCCTCAGCAACGAGACCCTGGCTTCTTGACCCCCATCAAATTGTTGATATCACTGGGCTTTCAGGAAAAAGTGTTCACAACTGCTTCCTTACTCCAGCTCCTGCTGATAGGAATTCGTACTGGCTGATCTTGTTGGTTACACCCTAGATGCCTTTGTGAGGAAAGGGAAAGTCTGGTGGATTAATGACTGTGACTAATTATGACTTGCTTCCTTTGTTTAGGAACTTATCTTTCATTGCTATTCATTTGCTTTGAGAAATAAGGAAGTGGGGGTTGCAGACATGGAGCACTGGACTGAGAGTCCACAGAACTGAGTTCTACTCCTAGCACAGCTGAGCAACCTGGGGCATGTCGCTGCCCTTCTCTGGGCCTCAGTTTCCCCATCTGTACAATAAGACTTGGATTATGTGACCTCTGTTGTCCCTCCCTATTCAAAGATCTGTAGTTTGGGGCCGCTTTTCCTAAAGTCCATGCCTCTATGCCCTTCCCTTTGACTTTGCCTGCCCCAGACCCCACATGTCAGTTACTGATTCGGATCTCTGATTTGTGCTTCTAGGTTTTCTTCGTGTCCGACCTCTTCAAGACCAAGACAACACTCTCCCTGCCTCCCCCTACTATCAGGAAGGAAATCCTTTCACCTGTGGACATTATTGACAGGAACAATCACCACAACATGGTGTAGGTGCCACGCACCTCCTGAGCTGTTTTTGTAAAATGACTGCTGACAGCAAGTTCTTGCTGCTCTCCAATCTCATCAGACAGTAGAATGTAGGGAAAAACTTTTTGCCCGACTGATTTAAAAAAAGGAAAAAAAAGTCTTACTTTGTGGCCTTCCAAAATAGGTAGCGTTCACCTATGTGGAAACAACAGCAAACTAACACCAAGTGCCGGAATCCTGGATGTGCAATTGGTTTAAGTGTTCATGTTCTAGTGAACACGGCTTGTTCTGGAACAAACACTAAAACGATTTCAGTAGAGTCTGCCGGTCACCTTTGTGACCTGGGAAACCCAGGCCTGTGAGAGGAGCTCAAATTCACATTGTAGCACACAATGCCAGAAATAGCACTGAATCAAGAAGATAGCCATCGGGGGGCTCCCCTCTTGTGTCTCTCTGTCCACACCACTCCACTTTCCACTGTGACTTTGGTTCAGGAAGTTTTTTCGGGTTTTTTTGTTTGTTTGTTTGTTTTTAATATAAGGAAGGAGCAAGTTTGCTCAGTCAAGTGATCAGATCCTGAATCCAACTTCCCAGTCCTAAGGCCTTATCACTCACTTCCCCGGCCCATAGGCCACAGCAGCCACAGTCGCTCACTTTAGTGATTAGGAGACTCTTTGTGGATGAGTGAACTTCACAAATAGCACAATTTCAGAAGAGATCGAGGGTACAGGCCCTCATTTGTCTTCTTTTGACACATCGTCCTGTGACGTTGACACGTCAGGTGCAGGATGCTGATGCTGTGTACATCAATCACCGGGCACCGCATGCTCTTGGTAACGGTTAGCTTCGGTCACTGCTTTCTCTCTTGAGGTCCTTGCTGCATGCCCACCAGGATTTCCTGTGGGAGTCCAGAGACGAGCAAATGTGTGCTCTGCCACTGGCTGATGGACAGCAGCCTTCGTGCAAGAGATAGGGGAGTGAGAGGGGCAAGAATGAAAAATGAGCCAACCTTTTGGCTGCACCAAGTCAGAATGAGCCGGAGTAGCAGATGGTCTCACGCCTGAGAGGCTGCCCTTCTAGAGAGCGGAGCTGACGAGGGTCTCTGCGGGAGTCACTCTTGCTAAGCCATGTGAAGCACTATTGTCTTGGGGTTGATCTCTAGGGCAGCTCTTGGTAGGTTCTGCTGGGCAGAACACGTGGGCTAAATCTCCGTGGAGAGTGTTCCTCATCCTCTATTCGTAAGTGTTCTTCCAAGCAAGGTCCCACTCTAGGCAGTAGACAGGGACCCCTTCTACTGAATTTTTGAGGAAAGGGGGAAGAAATGCTTTCAGATCTTGGGTGCAAACCCTTTACAGGGCTAAATGTAACCACATGGATCAACCACATGCACATCCTTATTACAGAAGCCGTCCTTTCATTTCAACTTATAGCAAGCTATGATTTTTATATATAAATATTATATAAATAATGTATAAAACATTAAAAGTTAACTATGTAAAATATTATTTCTGAAACAATTTTAGCTGTATCCACTATGATTATAAACTGTGTCTCGACCTGTGTTATTTACATTAGCTGCTTAAAAAAGCATCGAGTTAATTTTTTTTAAATATCAACTAAAATATCGTAGTTCTGTGGTAGACATTGTTTTACAGTGAAAGAAATAACTGCAACTAGAGAAAACTGTATAAAAACATTAAATTGTCAGTATTTTTATAAGGTTCCATTTTGTAAAGAGGATAATATTCGAAGACTTTTGTAGAATACAAAGTGAAAACTTGTATCTGCGAAACTATACTTGTATTAAATGTGCTTTTTAAATAAAAGCTCATAACACAACTAATTAAGGAATTGGAAGCCTGGAATACTTGATAGCTGTTTTCTTGGGTATGGGGTAGGACGAGGGGGACCGCAGGCTGTGCTCTCTGAATGGGCTTGCCTCCCCCTCGGGGCACCAGCTCCTGATTGTTTCAGGGGGAAATATGGTGTCCAGTGGATAGATATGACATCTATGCTGTTCTTTCATCTCTGAAAGCCTGTTTGCAGAGTGAGGCCCTGGGCCTTCTCTCATCTCAGGCTTTTCTAAAGAGCTTTTGTATTCTAAGGGGGTTTTCATCAGGGAGGGAGGAGCTAGGGGTCCCCCAAAGGCAGATAAGGAGCAGTGCTGGAGATAAGGTGAGCTTGGGGAGTTCACTGAGGGAGGCCTGTACCAGCCTACATCAAAGGAAGGGGCTGCCCCGGAGGGTGTGCGCTGAGAACGGCATGCGGCCCCTGCTTTCCTTCCCTGTGTGTCCTTGACCTGGAAGAAGAGGGAAAGCTGGGAATTCACATTTGTTGAGCCACCTACATGCCTGGCACTTCTGCCTGTTTGTCACTTTGACCCTTACAGCAGTTCTTATTTTGAGAAATAAGGGAGTCTAATGAATGCAAAGATGAAATGACTTGTTTAAGATCCTAGAAGAGAAAATTGCAGGCCAGGACTTGTATTCGTTTCCTATTGCTGCTGAAACAAATTATCACGAACTTGGTGGGTTAAAACAACACAAATTTATTATCTTACAGTTCTAGAGGCTCTAGGGGAGAAGCTGTTTCCTGGCTTTTCCAGCTTCTAGAGGCCATCTGCATTCCTTGGTTTCTGGCTCTTTTCCTCCTTCAAAGCCAGTGACATTGGGCCCGGTCCTCGCTCTGCCATCTCTCTGCTTCTCCTCTTCTGCTACCCCTTCCACATTTAGGGCCTTTGTGATCATACGGGGCCCACTTGGGTAATCCAGGATAATCCAGCTATGTAAAGATCCGCTGATTAGCAACCTTAATTCCATCTGCTACCTTAATTCTCCTTAGCCCTGTCACATAACATATTCACAGGTGCCAGGGATTAGGAGATGGACATCTCTGAGGGGGCCATTAACCTGTCTACCACAGTTCCCCCTCTGGCCCCCAAAGATTCACATCCATCCCACATGCAAAATACATTCACCCTGTCCCAACACCCCCCAAAATCTCAACATGTTACAGCATCAACTCAAAATTCAAAATCCCATTTAAATTTTATCAACTCAAAAGTCCCAAATCTCATCATCCAAACTACATCATCTAAATCAGGTAAGGATGAGGTTTTGATTTTAACCCATCCTGTGGCACAATTGCTTTCCATCTGTGAACCTATAAAGTCAAGAAACAAGTTATCTGCTCCCAAAATTCAATGATAAGACAGGCATAGAATAACAGTTACTCTTGTTCAAAAGAGAAAACGAAAGGAAAAAAGGAGTCATCAGTCCCAAACAATTTCAAAATCCAGCCAAGCAAACTCCATTTGGTTTCAGGGCCTGGGAATAAACTCACATGCCTCGTGGCTTCCTTTCCTGCCAAGGTCAGCCTGCTCTTCACAGCTAGACAAGGCAAGCCCCACTCGGGCCCCTGTACTAACTAGCTCAGCTCTTTCTCAGTATTTTTAAGTGGAAATGTAACTTTGGGCTCCAGGATGCAGCTAAGGTGATCCTTAAGGCCAGAGTCTAAATTTTCCCATCAAATCTAGTGAAACAAAGGTCCAGATAAAATAACTTGCTGGGGGGAGGCAGGGAGCACACAGCCAGTTAGTGGAGGAACTGGTGAGACCAAACCCCATAAGACCCAACACTACTAGTCCCCCAGTCTCCATTATACCTTTCTAATGGTGTTTGACAGAAGAAACCAGTCTCGAGAAGAAATAACCCCTTTTCATGAGGACTTATGGAAAGTGGAGCCATTCCATAGGTTGGGTAGCTCTGGGATTCAGATCCAAACCGTATCAGTTATTTGTTGACTGGTCTTAATTACCTACTATGTTCCAGGCTCTGGTAAACACACGAGGTAGGATAGTGGGTAAAAGGGATGGGATCTCCGCTTCAAGGGGCTTAGAGGCTAGAGGAAAATGCAAAAAATCAAATGTTCACACAATTATGTACTTAAGAACTAAGATGAATGTTATAAAGAAAGAATACAGGAAGGCATGAGAGATTTCAGCAGGAGGACCTGTCCTGCCCGAGGGTGGTTTCCCTGAGATCTCCCTAGGGCCAAAGCCTGTTTATACCACTCCTCTGCACCAACAAAATGAATGAGACGAATGAGAAGAGCTCTAAAGATGTAGGTCTAGGGTAAGAGACAAATGAGTAAATAAATAATTACGGTAGTGTGAGAAGAGGAGGAGGGATGTATATGAGGAGCTGTGAGAGCGCAAACGGAATGAGTCAGAAAGACTTAGAAGTCTTCCACGTGGACCCTCTCTGCTCCTGTGTGAGCAGCCCTTCTAGAAGATCTGCCACGAAAAAGAATGCCAGCTTCTGCATGAACCATTCCTATGAGGATGCTTGTGTCTTTAACAGACCTTTGCAGTTTTCAAAAACTCTTGAGTGCACACGGTCACCTTCAGATTCTCCACACTTCTTCTAAAAGAAGGCGTGGAAGGAATGGCCCCAGATGTCAGAGACAAGTGTTAAGCATCAGGGAGGCTTTGGTAGTTTTCTCTTTTTTCTTTTTGCGCTAACATCTGTTGCCAATCTTCCTCTTTTTCTTTTTTCTCCCCAAAGCCCCAGTACATAGTTGTGTGTCATAGTTGTAGAGTTGTAGTTCTTCTGTGTGGGCCGCCACCTCAGCATGGCTTGATGAGCAGTGAGTAGGTCTGCAGCCAGGATCCGAACCGGTGAACCCCGGGCTGCTGAAGAAGAATGCGCGATCTTAACCACTATGCCACCAGGCTGGCCCCTGTAGTTTTCTTTTGATACCAAAACAGTTTGTAAATAATAATGAATAGGAAAAGGAGAGACAACCCATTTTTAAAACTTCATAACAGAGGATATACAAATGGCACATAAAAGCATGCTCAACTTTATTCGTCATGGGGAAATGCAAATTAAAATCACAATGAGATATCACTACATACTGTGACATCCTTGTCTAACTTAAAAAAAATCCCAAAAAACCTGATAGTACAAAATATTGGTGAAGATGTGAAACAACTGATTCTCATTCTTGTGGGGATATAACTTGGTACAACCATTTTGGAAAACTTTGGCAGTATCTGCTAAAGCCAATAATATGTGTACTCTATGCCCCAGAAATTCCACTCCTAAATATACACCCAACAGAAGGATGTGTATAGCTCACCAATAGGCATGTACAAGAATGCTCATGGCAGCACTATCCAAGACTGGAAATAACCCAAATCCCCTTCAACAACTGAGCGATAATTAAATAGTGGAATTAAATATTCACGTGAGGAATATCATTCAGCAATGAAGATAAACAAACGCCTGCCATGCACGACAACATGAGTGAATTTCACAGGAAGAATATTGAGTGAATGAAACTAGGCACAGCAGAGTACATACTGTGTGAGTTCATTTTTATGAAGTTCAAAACAGGAAAAATCACAGCAAAAGAAAAAATCAACAAAATGAAAAGACAACCTACAGAATAGGAAAAAATATTTGCAAACCATGTATCTGATAAGGAGTTAATATCCAAAATATATAAAGAACTCACAAAAGTCAATAGCAAAAAACCAAAAATCCAACTAAAAAATGGACAAAGAACCTGAATAAATATTTTTCCCAAGAAGATATATAATGGCTAACTGGTATGTAAAAAGATGCTCAACTTCACTAATCATTAGGGAAATGAAATCAAAACCACAGTGAGATATCACCTCATGCCTGTTAGAATGGCTATCACCAAAAAGACAAGAAATAACAAATGCTGGTGAGGATATGGAGTAAAGGGAACCTTTGTGCACTGTTGGTGTGATTGTAAACTGGTACAGCCACTGTGGAAAACAGTATGGAGGTTCCTCAAAAAATTAAAAATAGGACTACCATATGATCCAGCAATCCTACTTCTGGGAATATATCTGAAGGAAACAAAAACACTATGTCAAAGAAACATCCGCACTTCCATGTTCATAGCAGCGTTATTCACAACAGCCAAGACATGGAAACAACTTAAGTGTCCATCAGTGGATGAATGGATAAAGAAGATGTGGTATATGTATACAACAGAATATTATCCAGCCATAAAAAAGGAGAAAATTCTGCCATTTGCGACAACATGGATGGACCTTGAGGGCATTATGCTAAGTGAAATAAGGCAGACAGAGAAAGACAAATACTGTATGACCTCACTTATATGTGGAATTAAAAAAAAAAAAAAAAGTCATAGAAAAAGAGATCTGATTTGTTGTTACCAGAGGTGGGGGAGCAGGTAGGGGAAGGGGGAATTGGATGAAGGTGGTTGAAAGGTATAAACTTCCAGGGCCGGCCCCATGGCGTAGTGGTCAAGTGCGCGTGCCCCGCTGCTGGCGGCTCAGGGTTCGGATCCCGGGTGCACACTGATGCACTGCTTATCAGGCCATGCTGTGGCGGCGGCCTATATAAAGTGGAGGAAGATGGGCACAGATGTTAGCCCAGGGCCAGTCTTCCTCAGCAAAAAGAGGAGGATTGGCATGGATGTTTGCTCAGGGCTGATCTTCCTCACAAAAAAAAAAAAAAATTTAAAAAAAGGTGTAAACTTACATTATAAGATAAATAAGTACAAGGTGTGTAATGTACAACATGATGCCTATAGTTAACACTGCTGTATGGTATATTTGAAAGTTGTTAAGAGAGTAAATCCTAAGAGTTCTCATCACAAGGAAAAAAATATTTTTTTCTTCCTTTTTTTGTATCTATATGAAATGATGGATATTAACTAAACTTACTGTGATAATCATTTCATGATATATGTAAGTCAAATCATTATGCTGTACACCTTAAACTTACACAATGCTGTATGTCAATTATATTTCATTGTAACTGGGAAAAAAAACCCAAAACAAACAAA